CATTATCAATGGAGCGCAGACATTACGAGTGACTATGGCAATATCTTATAAAAGAGATCACCATTTCTTTCTCCAGCTGAACTTGATGTTCTCATGCAAAGTTATAGCAAATATGAGTGTATATATTTGAAAAGAAGCAACCATCAGTGAAGAAGAGACAGTTAGCGTGGGAAAACAGCTGTTCAAGTTAATGCCTAATTTCACTTTTTAAGTATTTAAATATTTAAGTATAATAAAATAAGTAATGTAATTTGTGATGTTTATATTTTTTTTCTAAACTTTTTTTATACATTTATTAGTTTTAAATGATTTAACAGTGCACTTGTGTGTCTGCCTTTTTATTGATCAAGTGATAGAGGTTAATATAACATTTAGAAGGTAAGCAGTACTAAAAATAATTTTTAGAAAGAATAATAATCCCATTAATCTAGTTACATGCATGTCGAAGGTGAATTTAATTTAATTATTTATTAAAAAAGGATAAGCCATTCTCATACAGTTCTTCTGTGTGTGACTAAAATGTAGGCAATAGCTATATATATGTTTCCATCCAAATATATTACATAAATGTATGTGCAAAACTGGAATATTGCATAAAAGATGCGAATAAAATTCCATCCAACGAGTCAAAGAAAAAAAAATCGTCACTTTCTGATTAAACTGGCACCAAATATCAACAGTAAAAACAGAATTTACTGTGGTAGAAGAAGCTGCGTCAATTAATTCTTTATTTAGCCTAATTAATGTACTTGCGCCTCGATGTCAGAAGACAATGCTGAAACACAATGAACACGTGGGGGCGTCTGAAGCCATGAGACGCGGAGACTCACGCACCAGACGTTCGGAGGTAATTAATATACACTAATACTGAAACAGTTAAGGCATTTTAGAATGACTAAAACAATATTTAAGACGTGTTACAGTGTGCTCAGCCTGCTGGTTTGTTCATTTACACACATTTTCATTATCAAATGATCATGATCTTTTTTTAATGTACATACTGTAATTTGTTCAGTAAAAGTGTTTCCATTGTAGTTTATGCGCACATTTTCTATCGAATAAAAGTTTATCCTACTCAGTTATGCGCGTTTTTTATGCAAATTTTTTAAAAGTTATGTGCATCATGACGTTTCCATCAATCGTTTTTATGCACGTATACAAAATGAGCATTAAAATAGGTGGGTGGAGACATAAGGCTAAGGCGAGAAATACCGCTTCATCTTTAAAAAAGGGGAGGAGACCGACAGAAACTCTGAGTTTAGAGAATAAAACCTGCTTCTGACCAGGTTAGATTCACAGAGTAAGTTACCACAGTAACTGACTCTGAGTTAAAGTTACCTTTCTTTCAGAAACAGGTTGACTTACCCTGCTTTCTCGAGTTCAACAAACCTGCCTTTTTGAAACGGAAAACCCAGAGTTTCACTCATTTCAGGGTTAAAATACTCTGAGTTTTCAGATAACCTCCTTTCTGAAACAGGCCCCAGGTCTAAAAAAGGAGGCATGTTGAGGCGCATTGGCGCGTTGCTATTTTGAGAAACTATAACAGATTGTTCAATAGACCAGAACAAAGCCGGTCTAAAGTCCAGCGTAGAACGCTTTAGTTGTGCGCCTCGCTTACACATTGCAGATATACAGCAATATGCAAATATCTTTACATATGAAAAAGAATGAACATATTAAGGATATAAATAAGATATAATAAGGATATAAATATAAAGGATTAAAATATTAAAACAGTAGAATTTTCTAGTCTACACAAATATAAAAACCATACTTTCATGCCTTCATCTCGGGAGGCTTTTTCAGTTTATTCATAACAATTAGCTTTTGTATAATATCATTATTATTAGCAGTATTATTTATTATATCCATATTTATATTTGTTTTATTAAATACAAGCTTAGATTTGCCCACCTGTCAGGTTTCAGACCATATGGGGCACAGCATGTGTATTGGGATATAACTTTTTTTGAACACACTTTGTTATTATTGTTCATTTATTCGTTTGCTGGAAATTAGAACTGAATTTAGAAATAGTTTTAAATCAAATCTTTGCGCTAAACAAACAAACTTAATTATTTATAGGCTAATGGATGTCTGTGCGTACAACACTTTTCCATAGAGTCAAAGTGAAAGTAAAAAATGTGGAGGCTCATCTCTCATTCTCACCCTGTAGATGCACTGTTTAACTGTTTTCTTGCTAGTAAAACGCTCAGTTTTTCCACTTAAAAAGTCTGTCATGTAAATAGTGCTATAGAGTGATGCAACTGGCTCTTAAAGGGAATAGGAGATGAGACTCTGATTGGTTTATTCTCAAAACACCCCTATAACTTATAACCCCTGCACCTCGGGGCAAAGCGTTTTTTTTCCGTCCTTAAAATAGCAAAAGTGGATTCCGACACGCCCTTATTGCTTTTGCGCCCTGCACTTTGCACTTTGCGCATGTAACGTCAAAATAGAGCCCTTCATCTGTTTGAATAATTTGAATCAGTCATTTGATAACTGGAGACTCTTTCTGAGTGGATCATTTGAATCAGTAGGTGTGTTTGACTTGAACCATGGCTGCAGCCGGTGATCAACTAGATTAGCCGAGCGCAGCTGGGGCAGAGTTGAAAACGGAGCCGTCTAGCCAGACACTTCGGGGCTAAAAGTTGCAGCTGTCATGATGACCGATCATCACATCGCGTCGTCATCATTTTTTAATTATTTTAACAACAAAAGATTTACAGTACAAATAAAACAGAATACAGTCCCTACAAACTATAGATCATTTTTAAACAATAAGGGAATTATGAATTAAATATATAACAAACGCATGAGAGAAATAAGGGGAACCGAGAAGGTAAAATACTGTAAACGTAAAAATAAATAGGCCTAATAAATACAAAGCGATAAGCACAAATTTTAGGAGTTTAAACATCATTCTTTAAGGGGTTTACATTTATTGATCTAAAACCTTCCAATATATATTAATGTAAATCCCACAAACAAGGTATTTTGACTTAAACAATTATTAAGATTATTTTGGATAATTAAAGCATTTTCAAAAAAGCACTTTAATCAAAACATATTGAACAAAAGGGACATTCCTAAAAAAGTGAGCTACACTTTTAGAAGTTTCCCAGAAAGTGCAGGTACATCAAAATCACTTTTAAAACTTCTGTATAAATGGCTAGACAGTATATATATAATTTTATGATTAATTCATAAAAATAGTTCTTTAACTTTATTTTATTAGTAAACCTTTAGGGTGGCATGATCAAGGATAATAATTATTTTATTACAAGTCTGCAAGACTTATTTGAGTTAATATTTAGGTTATACACTAAAATATAGCATTTAAATTGTTCATGGAGCTGAATGCAGTAAATAGTCTGTATAAAAAGGCTGAATAAACCTGTGCAAATAGTCTAGCCTTTATAACTAAATTATTTAACAAAAGGTGATACAGCGGTAAAATATTTGTAATCTTTTAATAAGCATGATGTGTACAAGATAGAGAGGATATAAAAAGTTAATTGTTTGCTTTGAAATTTGTGAATTGGAATTTGTCCAATAATAAACCCGAAACACACATGGTTGTTGTCATGGGGTGAACTCAGCCAATCGTGTAACATCGGTGTCGTCATAGCAGCTGTAGCAGTCGCTCTTCAGATGCTACACTGGCTGAATCAGTCGTCTGATCTTGAACCGCTGTCACGGTACTTTGATGCCACATGTGACAGTCGTGTGGCGTGGTCGCATAACGTCAATCCGGACAAGATTTCTAACCATCAGGCAATGCTTTTAGACAGAATTCGATAGATCTACGCAGCGCTGTATGAGGTCAAACGCACCTAGTCAATTGATAACTGAAGACTCTTTTTGAGTGGATCATTTAAATCAGTTATTTGACAACTGGAGACTCCCTCTGAGTGGATCATTTGAATCTTTGAATTTTTATTTGGAGACTCCCTCTGAGTGGATCATTTAAATCATTGAATTTTTATTTGGAGTCTCCCTCTGAGTCAGACTTCCTCAGAGTGGATCATTTTGACTGATTTTGAATTGTCATTCGGGGCGAAGCAGTGACGCAGTAGGTAGTGCTGTCGCCTCACAGCAAGAAAGTCGCTGGGTCGCTGGTTCGAGCCTCGGCTCAGTTAACGTTTCTGTGTGGAGTTTACATGTTGTCCCTGCGTTCGCGTGGGTTTCCTCCGGGTGCTCCGCTTTCCCTCACACTCCAAAGACATGCGGTATAGGTGAATTGGGTTGGCTAAATTGTCCGTAGTATATGAATGTGTGTGTGTGAGTGTGAATGTGTGTGTGGATGTTTCCCAGAGATGGGTTGCTGCGGAAGGGCATTCGCTGCGTAAAAATTTGCTGGATAAGTTGGCAGTTCGTTCCACTGTGGCGACCCCGGATTAATAAAGGGACTAAGCTGACAAGAAAATTAATGAATGAATGAATTATCTTTCGATAACTGGAGACTCCCTCTGAGTGGATTATTTAAATCAGTCATTTGATAATTGGAGACTCTTTCTGTTTGGATCATTTGAATCGGTCAATCAATAACTGGAGACTGTTTCTGTTAGGATCATTTGAAACAGTTGTTTAATCACTGCACGGTCACTCTTGAGTGGATCACTTGAATCATTCAAATATTTTCTGTAGTCTGGTCTGAGTGGATCTTTTGTATTGATGAATCATTAATTGAAGTGGTGAAGTAAAAGTTTCCTAAAATAAAAATAGCACTTTTTTAAAGTAAAAATACAGAAGTTAATGTCCATCACCACTATACCATCGTTATTGCTGTAATTTCAAGCAGACACAGAGAAGTCTTATCTTAGCTATGTTGGCAATGTAAAGTTTTTGAATTCAGAAGTTTAAAAGAACATAATTTAATTAGAAATCTTTTGTAACAACAGCAATATCATGAGAAAAAAAACACTTCTTTTTTTTAAAGGTCACTGTGTTCAGAAATAATTTGTTATCTCTCACCCAATGTGTCCTGTTTCCTGTAGTATCGGAGCTGCAGGAGGAGGGGATGAACGCCATTAATCTCCCCCTGAGTCCCACACCTTTTGAGCTTCATCCTGAGGATATCATGCTAGGTAACAAACCTGTAGCCCATATTCTTCAACTGATGCCCCCTCTGGTTAATAATAATCCCTTACACTTTCCACTTCTCTTTTTTTTTTATTTCAATGTCCTGTCTGTCTGTCTCTTTCACAGAAGAAAATGAAGTGCGCACCATGGTGGATCCCAACTCGAAAAGTGACCGCAAACTCCAAGAGCTCATGAAGGTTCGTTCTGAAAGCCAAAAATTTCATCATTTGTTTGTTATTCTCTTGTTCTAAAATAATGAACCTATAATTCTGTATAAATTAGGTGCTCATCGACTGGATCAATGATGTTCTGGTTGGCGAAAGGATCATTGTGAAAGACCTGGCTGAAGATCTCTATGATGGTCAGGTTCTCCAGAAGCTCTTCGGTAAAAAGTCTTTGTCTCTCTGTACTATATAGACGCTTCTGATGGAGAGTTTTTTTTTTACTAGTTTATTGTTTGATTAACTAATTGCCGGTTTTGATTTGATTTTATTGTGTTTGTTTTCTTTTTATTGGAATTATAGAGGTTATTTTACAGGATGGCTGCTTTCCAGTTGTTGTATAATGACTATTTTACTACATTTGGTCATAATGTGCATGTTTGGTGGTTATTTTATTGGTTTTATAGTATTTATTTCACTTGAATGCTTCTAATTGATTGTGAAGTGTTTATTTCACCCTATTGGTGCTAATGATCGGTTATATATTGTTTATTTTACTTCTTAACTGCTTCTAATTTGTTGTGTATTGTTTATTTCATTGTATTGGTGCTTCAGATTGGTTATATAGTGTTTATTTTACTTCTTGACTGCTCTAATTGGTTGTGTAGTGTTTATTTCACCATATTGGTGCTTCAGATTGGTTATATGGTGTTTATTTTACTTCTTGACCACATCTAATTGGTTGTGTAGTGTTTATTTCATGGTATTGGTGCTTCAGATTGGTTATATAGTGTTTATTTTATTTTTTGACTGCTTCTAATTGGTTGTGTAGTGTTTACTTCACCATATTAGTGCTTATGATTGGTTGTATGGAGTTTATTTTATTTCTTGACTGCTTCTAATTGGTTCTGTAGTGTTTATTTTATGGTATTGGTGCTTTTGATTGGTTATAGAGTGTTTATTTTACTTCTTGACTGCTTCTAATTGGTTGTGTAGTGTTTATTTCACCATATTAGTGCTAATGATTGGTTGTATAGAGTTTATTTTATTTCTTGAATGCTTCTAATTGGTTTTGTAGTGTTTATTTCACCATTTTAGTGCTAATAATTGGTTGTATAGAGTTAATTTTATTTCTTGACTGTTTCTAGTGGGTTGTGTAGTGTTTATTTTATCATATTGGTACTTTAGATTGATTATAAAATGTTTATTTTACTACTTGACGGGTTCTAGTTGCCTGTGTAGGGTTTGTTTCACCATATTGATGCTTCAGGTTGGTTATATAGAGTTTATTTTATTTCTTGACTGCTTCTAATTGGTTGTGTAGCGTTTATTTCACCATATTGGTGCTTCAGATTGGTTATATAGAGTTTATTTTGCTTCTTGACCTCCTCTAATTAGTTGAGCAGGGTTTATTTCACCCTATTGGTTTTAATATACGGCTAATTTTACTATATGGCTGTTTCAGGCTGTTTATACATGGAGCTGGGTGATTATTCTGGTCTATTTTCATGCACATTTTGCCATTAGCCGCATTTCCACTATTGGGCCAGTGCGAGCCGGGGCTTTAATCGGGCCGGGCCGGGCCAATAGCCCGGGAGGTTAAGAAATGAGGCTGAAATCATGTCGCGATTCCACTGTCGGGCTAGTAGCTCACAGCGCGTCACGCAAACACCGCCCACAGAACGTCCCCGAATCAAACGTCACACAACCCGCCCACTTCAGCGAGAATCAAGCAGATAAAGCACACCATAGAATCATCACGAAAGGAAACCATTAAAATGAAGACAACCGAAACAAACAAACGACACGTTACTGTACAGCAGTACATGAAATGTCTATACGCACAGACCTGTGTATTTCCATTTATTACATTTGTTTACTCGCCGACCGACTGTTGGCATTGTTCATGGAGTGCTCTCGCCACTAACGGAGGGACCCAACACAGAGAGCGCACACATCCATAATATAAAGCCACAGTAATTCTCCTTTATAACTCGAAATGGCATGGATTTTATAACATCCTCGTTTTGATAGAAGTCGTGTTAAGTTTTCAGCACAAGAGCGAGTAGCCTAATAAAATATAGCCATATTTGTTGCGCTCGGCAGCTATTCACTAAAGCTCTTCATTTAAAGTTTCATTTATAAATTTAACCACGTCATATACATTTACATTTACATTTACATTTAGTCATTTAGCAGACGCTTTTATCCAAAGCGACTTACAAATGAGGACAAGGAAGCAATTTACACAACTAAGAGCAACAATGAATAAGTGCTATAGGCAAGTTTCAGGTCTGTAAAGTCTAAGAAGGGAAGTATTAGTAGTATTAGTATTTTTTTTTTTTTTTTGGGTACAGTTAGTGTGATATTCAGAGAGGCACTTGCAGATTAGGAAGTGAAGTGGAGACTAAATAGTTGAGTTTTTAGTCGTTTCTTGAAAGTAGCGAGTGACTCTGCTGTTCTGATGCAGTTAGGGAGTTCATTCCACCAACTGGGCAGATTGAGCGTGAGCGTGAGCGAAAGTGATTTCTTCCCTCTTTGGGGTGGAACCACGAGGCGACGTTCATTCACAGAACGAAAGTTTCTGGATGGCACATAGAACTGCAGAAGTGAGAGCAGATAAGAAGGAGCAAAGCCAGAAGTCACTTTGTAGGCAAACATCAGAGCTTTGAATTTGAAGCGAGCAGCAACTGGCAGCCAGTGCAAACGGACTAGCAGCGGAGTGACATGTGCTCGTTTAGGTTCATTGAAGACCACTCATGCTGCTGCATTCTGGAGCAGTTGAAGAGGCTTGATAGAGTTAGCTGGATGCCTAGCTAGTAGAGAGTTGCAGTAATCCAGTTTGGAGAGAACAAGAGCTTGAACAAGGAGTTAAGCTGCATGTTCAGATAAGAAGGGTCGGATCTTTCTGATGTTATAGAGTGCGAATCTGCACGATCGAGCAGTTCTAGAAATGTGGTCAGAGAAGTTTAGTTGGTCATCAATCGTTACTCCAAGACTTTTCACCATTTTGGATGCAGTAATGGTTGCCCCATCCATCTGGATTGAAAAGTTATGGTGTAGAGTCGAGTTGGCAGAAACTACAAGCATTTCCGTTTTTGCGAGGTTCAGCTGAAGATGATGATCTTTCATCCAGTGTGAAATATCCAACAGGCAGGCTGAGATGCGAGCTGGAACCGAGGGATGCGAGCTGGAAACGAGGGATCATAAAAACATAAACAATTGTTTGAGGATATAAAACACATTCTGTGTTTGGACTTTCCCCCATAGGTATTCGGCGGGCCGAAAAAGGCCAGCCGCTGGCCCCAAGAAAGCCCCACTTTGGCTCGATTAGGCCCCGGAAGTGACAGTGGAAACCCCCACTGGCCTTGGCTCGCCTTGGCTCGCTTTAGGCGCGATAGTGGAAACGTGGCTATTAAAGTTCTCCAACAGGTGCTTACAGCGGCATTGTAGTTCACAGACTAAATGAAAATGAAAAATGACACATTACTAATCAAAGTTGATTTAACTGGCTAATAATGAAATTAAGAGAATCAGTCTGCAGTAGTAAATGCTGCTACATCTAAAAGCATGTGAAAATAACAGCTATAACAAGGTTTTTACTTAAAACTCACTTCATAATTTAGTTCTGTTTGAATTAAATCCTTCTGTGAGTTGTTTTTGTCATAGTGTGATTAATTGTCACATTGAATTAATGAAAGCAGTTAACACCATGTCCTAACTACAAAATTACACACCAAACAGTTTGTCTGTCTGGAGCAGAAACATTAAAATACAAAAATAAAACATGGTAAGATTTATAATCTAATTAATACACGTTAAACCTCTTTAACATTATAAAAAGTACCTTCTGAGTGACTGATATTTATTTTGAGTAACAGTTCTAATTTTCATTTTTAAACTATATGTTAGCTATTTAGTTTATTATTTTCATGATCTGAGGTCTATCTATAACTATTACTTTTTCGGTATAAATGTCACAGAAAAAAATGTATTCAAACTTGCATGAATAAAGCATATAGTCAGCACCTGAGGTGATCATTTTCATACTAGTTTATGCAGTTGTTCAACAACGACATTTAAGAAATAGAAACTGTTTCTAAAATAGAATTTTCAGGTGTCGCTTTTGTGGATGGTTAGGAGAAAAACTCCTTGTAACATGAAAAATGAGAACTGTTATAATGCATTGAAGCGTCACGTTACATGTAGTTATACATGTACACTGACTGCATCCGAAATCACCTACTACTCAGTAGGTACTACATTTGAATTTGAGTTTGCTAAACAGCCATTATAAAAATATGCTCTATATATTATGAATGCCAGTGAATGGAACTTAGACCTACCCGCATAAGTTGCATCACTTCACTTCCATTCGTGAATTTTGTCGTGTGGCATCATTGGATACCGTAGCTTCCATCGGATGCGCACTTTAGATTCTCAGTGGAAGTAGTAGGTCATCCGAACGCATACTGTTTTTCGAATTCTTTGAATTCGTTCATACTAATTTGCTCACATACTGTTTTTATTATTGTTTTGGGTAATATATGGAAGTATGTGATTTTGAACACTGCAACGGTGTTAGTCTGTCTGTTTCTGGGATTTGTCTTTGTGGAAATTTGGAGAGTTATCATGCAGGAGCACCCTCTGGCCTTCTAATGAGATTTAAGGCCTGTGCACATGAGGGCGCTTTTTCCTTATGTTTTCCGTCAACGTTTATTGCCTCAGGACTAAATAAAGGGTGCCAATGTGATCATGCACACCAAGAAGCATAACACCAGGCGTAAAAGCATAATTTTCGAAGAAATACCTTGTGCTCATTTTTTTGTTTTGACGCTCCGTAACAAAACCTTCTCCACCAATTAGATTGCCACTTTTATTCATGTGCACGGAGCTGCTGAAGTTACAGTAAACAGCACTTGGAGGCGCTCAAGTGCAAAACTGTCAATGCGAGCACACATTGAAAAAGATGCCCAGAGACGATTCTGAACGTGGAGCTGCTTATTGCTCTGGTGAACAATAATCAATAACCACGGTGACTGAAGCTCTGCACAAGACTTTTGGCCAGCGGAGAAATTAAAATGGTCCTGCCCAACTGAGTCTGGTTCTCTCAAGGTTTTTTTTCTTCACTCCTATCAGGTGAAGTTTTTTTTTCCCTCTCCGCTGTCGCCACTGGCTCGCATGGTTCAGGATTGGTAGAGCTACGCATCGATGAATTTGCTCTTTAGTATTTGAACTCTCAGTAATGATTTTAAATCACACTGAACTGAGCTAAACTTAACTGAACTTAAACACTAAAAACTGAACTACTCTGATCCAGTTACTATGACCATTTATGTGAAGCTGCTTTGACACAATCTACCTTGTAAAAGCGCTATACAAATAAAGCTGAATTGAAATTGAATTATCATTTCCTCATCGCTAGAGCTGGAGCTGCTATTTGAACCATCCATGCTTGTTCGAATCGCCAGTAACCTTAACAACAAGCGTGTCAACTTTCTGTCTTTGTCTTCCGTGTTCCAAGCGGGTGTCAGAAGCTTAAAGTTGTGTAGCGCCATCTAACGTCAAGTGATGAGTGATTTTTTTATACTCTTCTGCTCGACGCCAGTGAAAATCGCTTGGGTTGGAATCCAGAAAAACATCTCGAAAAATGCTGACAATAAGCTCAAACGAAAAGCTTCCCGGTGTGTACAAGCCTCAACTAGTGATCAAAGAACTGTGCTTCCCTGACAAGATGTGCATGACTATCACTGCTTTGCCTAATCGCATTTAAAATTTCATTTCGATTTTAACCCGACCTACTTATACAGTGTTTATTTCATTCAATGGCTACTTCTGGTTGATTATACTTTGTTTATTTAAGTACATGACCACTTCATTTATTTAGTACATTTAAAGGGATAGTTCACCCAAAAATTTGGTCATAATTTACTCTCCCTTTACTTTGTTTAACCTGTTTGACTTACTTTATTCTGTTGAAGACTAAAGAAGATGTTCTGAAGAAAGCTGAAAAGCTGTAACCATTGAGTAACCTTCTTTAGTCTTTAACAGAATAAAGAAACACGCGAGTGAACCATTACTGTTACTTCAAATGTACGGCTGCTTCTAGTTGATTATGTAGTGAGTATTTTAGAAAGTGAGACTAGACTTTAAATTAATAATGTAGTATTTATTTTACTCAGTTAACATTTTCTAACTGTTTCTACAGAGATGTGTATTTGACTGAAAAGCAGAGAAAGTTTTACCTCGACTCATCTTTCTTCCCCTCATGTCGATTCTGATTTAGACTTGTGCTTCCATTCTGTAGAAAAGCTCGAAGGTGAGAAGCTGAATGTGGCAGAGGTTACCCAATCTGAGATCGCCCAAAAGCAGAAGCTGCAGACGGTTCTGGAGAGGATCAATGACGCCCTGAAGGTCTCTACCAGGAGCATCAAGTGGAACGTCGACTGTAGGTCCTCAGCACGACTCTTTTTAAATGATCCTAAATTAGACAAATCCAAGGTTATAAAAATTTGAAAATTTGTAAAATTTGGAATTATTTTGATTAGACATAAAGGAACACTCCACCATTTTTTGGAAATAGGCTCTTTCCTTCAGAGTTAACCAGATTTTTGAATGCATTCAGTGTGTCTAGCAAGAGCACTTTTAGCTTAGCATAAATCATTGAATCAGATTAGAGCATTAGCATTACACTCAAAAATGACAGAAGAGTTTTCAGTTTTTCTATTATGTAGTTGATTCCGTTTTTCTTTGTTATTTCACCCTAGCAACCACCTCGCAACGCTTTAGCAACCACTCAGAACACCCTAGCAACCACTTCGCAACGCCTTAGCAGCCATTCAGAACACCTAGCAACCACCTCCCAACGCTTTAGCCACCACTCAGAACACCCTAGCAACCACCTCGCAACGCCTTAGCAACCACTCAGAACACCCTAGCAACACGCTAGCAACACCTTAGCAACCACCTAGCAATGCCTTTGTAACCACTCAGAACAATCTAGCAACCGCCTAGCAACCATTTAGAACACCCTAGCAACACCTTAGCAACCACCCAGCATCGCTTTAGCAACCGCCTAGCAACCACTCAGAACATTCTAGCAACACCTTAACCCCCAACAACACTCTAACAACCCCTGACAACACCTTAGCAACCACCTAGTGATGCCTTAGCAACTCCTCAGAACAAACTAGCAATTGCCTAGCAGCCATTCAGAACACCCTAGTAACTGCCTAGCTACACCCTAACAACCTCCAGTAACGCCTTAGAAACGACCTAACAATGCCTTAGCAACCACTCAGAACACCCTAGCAACTGCCTAAAAACAATTTAGAACACCCTAGCAACCGCCTAGCAACTACCTAACAATGCCTTAGCAATTGCCTAGCAACTACTCAGAACACCCTAACAACCACCTAGCAATGCCTTAACAACCACTCAGAACAACATAGCAATCACCTACCAACACTTTAGCAACCACGCAGAACACCCTAGCAACCACCTAGCAACACTTTAGCAACAACATAGAACACCTTAGCGACCTAGCCACAATCTAACAACCACCAGCAACACCATAGCAACTACTAAGAAAAACTTAGCAACTGCCTAGCAACCATTCAGAACACCCTAGCTCCCGCCTAGTAACACATTAGCAATGCCTAAGCAGCAACTCGGTACACCCTTGTAACTGCCTAGCTACACCCTAACAACCTCTAGCAATGCCTTAGCAACTACCTAGCAACAATTTAGCAACCACTCAGAACAACCTAGCAACTGCCTAGCAACCAGTCAGAACACTCTAGCAACCGCCTCGCTACACCCTAACAACCACTAGGAATGCCTTAGCAACCTCCTAGCAACACTTTAGCAACCACTTAGAACAACCTAGCAACCATCCAGATAACCCCAGCAACCACTGCCTAGCAAGAAACAGGCTAACCCAAACTAGAAACATGTTACTTTTTTTCAATTATTTCCACTTTGAAACTACTTCAAACTTTCAGAGGCTTTATCAAGACACCATAAAGTTTGTCTACGAACTTTACTAGCTTTCCTATGAATTTGAATGAGTCTTTTTGTTTTGTTTTGTGTGTGGTGTTCTTGTTTTTTTATCTGTGCGCTGTTCTATTGATGTCGATTGCTGAATGTGATCTGTAAATCCAAATTTCTACTTTTTTTTGCATGTATGGCTGCTTCTGATTGGTTTTACAGTGTTTTAATTGACTGGATGGATGCTTCTGATATGTAATATCCATATCCAAAATGATATTATAGAGATAACTGTACTTCAGTCTTGGTACAAGCTTTAAATAGGAAAACGCAATAGTTAAACTCTAATCTTTAACTCAAAGGGATTTGTAAAATGAGCCTACAACCAGCCCCCCCATCCCTCCAAAAAGTGGAGTGTTACTTTAAAGTGTCTACTTAGACATGCTGTGCTGCCCAAAAACAGCTTTGCAACAAAGTAACGTCTGTTTAAAGCACAATTGATGTGTGTTCCTTGTAGCTTTGAGCTTCAAAGGCTTGGAAAACACTTAAGGTGATGTAACAGTGTCTTTTAGAGGATTTCCGTCCCTCTTCTTATGTGGAAGAGACGCTAAAGAGATTGCTGGTTGTTTTATGAGGCAGAAAGATTTATGCGCCATTGATTTTCGTATTAAATGGAAGCGGAAATCAATCCTTAAGTAACAATTCGCCGAGCTGAGGCGACATCTCTGCTTGTTTTGTGCCAATACTGGTTTTAATTCATTTAAGTGAAGCCAGGGAATGTTAACTCTTTGAAGTAATCTATTTTGTTTTCTTGAAATATTCTCTAGCGGTTCACGCTAAGAGCATAGTGGCCATCCTTCACCTGCTGGTGGCACTCTCACAGCACTTCAGAGCTCCAATAAGACTGCCTGACCATGTGTCTATTCAGGTGGTTGTGGTTCAGGTATGTAGTTTTAGACTGGGATTTTTTTCACTAACTGTTCCTAAATCTTTGCCATTTTAGTGGTAGATGTGGAGATATGACTTTAAATATGTTGTTTCTTTCTATACTGAATTAAAAATTGAAACTGAATTGAAACATTCTTCAAAACAGTTTTTATAGAATGTAAACATTAAATCGTTTTAAAGAATGTTCTTTTAGAATGTAAACATTAATTAATTTAGAATGTTGTTGCTACTCCCCCACAGTCCAAATACATGCTTATTCAATTCAGCTATATGGCAATTTTTTTAGAACATTCTTAGAGAATTGAAGCTCTTTTAAAATGTTCTTAAATAATATTCAAGAATGTTCTTACAGAATTTCAAAACTTCTTGAATTCTCATAGAATGTTGTTAGACTATTTCTCTTTTAATTTTCTTATTAAATGTTACCCTTTTTATAAAATCATTTTATAAACATTTATAAGTAAACAGCTAATCAACACTTATAACAATACATTTTGATAAAATGTAAACGTTGTACAATTTTTACAGAGGTTTCTTATAGAATTGAAGTTTTATTAAAAAGTACAGGGGTGTCCAAACTCGGTCCTGGAGGGCCGGTGTCCAGGAGAGTTTATCTCCAACTCGCTTCAACACACCTGCCAGAAACGTTCTAGTATATCTAGTAAGAGCTTGTTTAGCTGGTTCAGGTGTGTTTGATTAGGGTTGGAGTTAAACTTTCCAGGACATCGGCCCTCCAGGATCGAGTTTGGTCACCCCTGCTGTTAGGACTTCATCATTTTAATAGAATGTAAATGTTGAATAATCAGAAATGTTCTTTGAGAATTGATGCTCTTAATCGAATGTTCCTATAGAATGTTTTATAGAATTGACACATTTTTCAAAAATATTTAGAATTCCAAATTTCTTATAGATATTCTAGAATGTTAGCATCCTTTTGTAATTACTTAAAATTCTTATAAACATTTCTTACAGAATATACTAAAGGTTCCTTAAAGTTCTTAAGGAATATTAGCATTATTTCTAATAAAACTTTTTTATTAAATTTAAATATTCTTATAAAATCTCTTATATAAATTTAAATGTTACTTTCCTAAAGAAAGTTCTGTTGAATTTCATCATTCCAACTCAATGTAAGAATTGTAGAATTACCATTTAAATGAATAAATCTTATAAACATTTGAGTTTATTATAAAAATCATACTTGTTTATCGTTAAACATTAATCACTGATAATAACTTGTAAAGTAATGGAAATTTATTGAAAAATAAAAAGCCTGAGAATTCTGTTATCACTGTCTTCATCTTATGTTTCATGTTGTGCTGTTTTCTCATCACAGATATTTTCATAGGCGAACACTTACTTCAAATTTCTAGAAATTTCTGACATGTGCTCTCTTATTTGTTTTACCTTAGAAACGTGAGGGAATTCTTCAGTCCCGTCAAGTTATGGAGGAGATCACAGGCAACACAGAGTACGTAACTGCAATCTCTGTAAACAACAATGCTGGGTTCCACACAATCGATTTGTCCTGGGACAACATGAAGGAATTAATAAAGGAAATAATTAAACTTGTTAGTTTTTACGAGTGGATCGAACATAAAACAATTAAGTTCTCCCAAAAAAAAAAAATCCCAACATTTGCTTAAATAAGTAGTTTGAACAAACAGCAAACGTCATTTTACTAAGTGTCAATATCAGCCTTTAATAATCTTCCACACCTTTTATGAAGACTCCTTTCATATGTTTCCATCATTCTGCGGTGGATCACTGATTACAAGATGGTGTTTGGATTAGCTTTGCCGCTGTTTTGTTTCTCACACACACACACACACACATATGTGCACAGCTGACTACAGAGTCGTCCAGCAGGCACCTGGCAGCTGGGGAGATAAGTGTGTGTTTTTGCACGTGTGTGTGTTTGTGGACTTCCCGAGGCTGTTATCACACACACAGTATAGCGGCTGCCCAGGCTGAGGGCTGGCAGGAGTGATTAGAGAGTGAGGAGGAGGGGGGGCCTCATGGGGAGAAAGCACTGTCCAGGGCTGTCCCAGACTTGCCCGATCAATTTGATCACCCTTCCACATGCTCAAATGACAGCCGCCTTTCGCACCTGGATTTCAGCAAGCGTAGCATTAGCAGAAATACAATACCTCCCGTTGTTTTATAAGAGATGAATGAGAAGTAGGAATTCACAGTATTCCGATTATGTTAACATTTGTAGCTTATTTTGGACAATGTAGATACCGATATTTGATTGTGAACTGTTATGTGTGTGTTTTACATAACAAACACTTGTAGATTTGTAATTGATATGTGATGCTAAAAGTAAGGCATATTGGCACAATATTCCATATTGGTTGATGCTGATTTTTCCGTTTTAATTTTTTATCAGCAGATTTATTGGACACGATTATGCTATTATATTTTTTGCATTGTGGTTATGCACATAAAAATCAGTTGGTTGAAATGCCAAGATACACATTCATTTTGGAAATGCACAAAAATGAAACACATTTACCAAACAAACTCCAGTATGTACATTAAAAGTGTCATGTAATTTTGTTGTGATGGTAAAAATGTCGGTGAGTGGACAAACCAGCAGGCTGACTGCATTGTAAAAAATCTAAAATGTTTATTTTGGTTATTCTAAAACACCTTAACCACTTTAGTATTAGTGTTACTATATTATCAATTACGTATTCACTGCGTGTCATATTGTTTTCTGAGGCGTTTATTAAATGAAGAAAAAATTCACGCAGCTTCTTCTACCCAAGCAAATTTCTTTTTTACTGTTGATATTTGGCCCCGGTTAATCAATCGATTTTGTTCTCTTTGACTCATTTGATGGAGACGCTGCTTTATTTGCTCGTCTTTTATGCAATATTCTAGTTTTGCACATACATTTAATTTGAATCTTTGGATGGAAACGTAGCTACTGTGCATCCATAATTAAATGTATAACTTGAAATGATTAACCCTTATTAAAATTTTTACAAATACGGATAAACTAATCATTTCTGTTGATCAGTTTTTAATAATATTCTGAAATTAAGCATAAAAAAAAGAACATTTACATTTACAAGTACATTTTTCACATTTCCAAAAACTTATATCAATATGTTTAATTAAAATAAAACGTGTGTGTGTGTGTGTTTATTGTTTATTTTATTTTTTGCTATATACTCTAAGTAATGTATTTTGATTATATATTATTATTATTGATTATATTATTATATAATATTATTTATTTAAATTTTATTATTATGGGGCTTTTTAAAGGTTACCTAAATAATAAATGACTGCCATTTAAATGTGAAATATTTAAATTTATTGTTCATTATAAATCGTTACCAGTTAATTGTAAAATCTCTGATATGGGCAGAATAATCTTGTATACACATTTTTGTTTTCTAACAGTGTACTTGTGTTTTTTTTATCATATTTTAATAAATGTATTTTTATGTTTATAGGGCATTATCTGGAAGGCATGGTAAGTATACAGAAAATTTATATAATTTACATACTACATTCTCAGAAATAAAGGTACAGGAGCTGTTACTGGGGTGGTACCTTTCCAAAAGGTACAAATTTGTACCTTAAAGGTCTATATTAATACCTTAAGGGTACATATTAGTACCTAAAAAGTACAAAAGTGTTCCTCTTAAAATTTTTAGGTACTAATATACACTTTTGAGGTACCAATATGGACCCTTTAAGTACAAATATGTACGTCTTGAAAAGATGCCACCCCAGTGACAGCTTGCGCACCTTTATTTTTGAGAGTGTGTACACACAAAGAAATTGATTATTTCTATCAAGGATGCATTAAAATTGATCATTTTGTGTGTGTTAGTGTGTCATTTTAAATGTCTATTTTAAATTAAAAATATGTATTACATTAATTTTCCAAATATTAAACTTCAACTTTGCTGTTATAGAGAACTGTTTTATTTTCGAAATATACTATAATAGAAGTGTTTTTACTGTGTTTTTGATCAAATACACTTAACCTAGTACACGGTCTCTTTGAAACATTTAGTTGTTGTCTTATACATGCACATATTCTCTTTCAGAGCGTGATGCTTTTGATACATTGTTTGATCATGCTCCCGACAAGCTGAGTGTGGTGAAGAAGGTATGAAAGAGCACAAATATTAGCTGAATTGACATCCTAAGGCATTCCTGACCACACATGCATCTGCTTTCCACAGACTCTAATTACCTTCGTCAACAAACACCTGAATAAACTTAACTTGGAGGTCGCTGAACTGGATACACAGGTAAATGGATCAACGCGTTTTGTAATTAATATGAATTGAGGATCAAGCCATGGAAAATCAAGTATTAGAGTCATTATTATAAATGTTAGCAGCTCAACGTAAGACCGTCTGTTCAGTAAATCAAGTGAAATTGTAATTCTGTCATCATTTATTGCCTTTTCATGTCGTTCCAAACACGTTTAACTGTGCCAGACACTCATTTACATGGTATTACAGTGGTGAACTAAAGCTTAAATTATCAAAATGGACAGTCATCAAACATATAGAGAAATCTTTAATAATTTTACCAATGTTTGTGAAGGCTTTTGAGAAAATAGTTTGGTGTAAAGTCAGAGAAAAATTTTCACTCCGCAGTCACTACTTAATTTTTTTCTTGTCTATGAAATCACATAGAAGGTAAATCGCATCATAATGAACTACTTCAAGACATGGGCCATTTCTAATTGCAGCAAACTGTTTGGAATCATAAAAGTGTCGAAAAAGATGTCCAAAATCTTTACACGCATTGACCCAGAGCCCTATTAAATGCATGTCACTGATGAGAAGATGACGAATGTTTACTGTATGTTGTCTGCAGTTTCCTTAAACACCCTGCAGGCACTTGATGTCAACATGTCATATTGACGTTGTACCCCAATGTCGTGGGAACGTTGTATTTTGATTGGAAATGAAAATTGAATTGATGTCAAAACCCAATGTCAGGCCTACGACGTCAACGTCCAACCTAAAATCCACTAAATATCAAGTCTAATCCAAGCTTGACGCTGGATTTTGGTTTCCATACCTGATGAATAAATGTCAGTATTTGATGTAAATAAAATGTTGGCTTGATGTTGGATTTTGGTCACTTTCCAACACAACCTCAAATTAACCAAATATCAATGTCATTTGATGTCTTTATTGGACATCAAAATAACCCTGTACTTAGACGCTGGTTAGACATTGAATTTTGGTCACCTGATGTCATTTCCTAAATCTAACCTAATATTAACGTTAATGATGTTGTGTGCCTGCTGGGCAATCAAATGCACTACAAAATGTGATGTTTACACACTTCCACAAATTACAGCGTAATAGACCTTTTTCACCGCGGAATTGAACACCGGAAGCGGCCTTCGAAGCAATGTATCGATATTTCCGGGTTCGCTAGGAGTCGCAGAGACATGACAGCCTCGGGACAGCGGATGACTTTCTCACGGTCAACTTTGCCATAATTTGGACAGGAAGATGTTGTTCGGTGAATGTGTAAAACTGCCTTAATAAAACAGCATTTAAAAGATGATACCGATTTGCAGAGTTTGTGCAGAAAACGTGTCTTACACAGCGTTTGCCATGTCAGGTTCCAGTAAAGTGCACAGCCAACAGCATAAAATCTGCTCATTCAAGCCATTCGTAAACTAAATTAACCTGGCTATTTAACATCCAGCAGGATGAGTTTTATGTCAGTAGTCCCGTCTGTAAACTGTGCTAACCCCTTCCTTCCTTTTTATTCAGAGTCAGATATAGTGAATGGCGAGTTGCTATCTGTTAATACATTACAGGTTGTTTAATGCTCGTGAGGTTTTCTCAAGTCTGGAAACACGTTAGCTCTTACTCGTGGATAATATTCATTTTTATTATTTATTTAAAGAACAGCAAATAACATTTTACAATACAAAAATGTACATACCAGGGGGTAATTATAAATAAAATACAAATATACAAAATGTAATATAACATATGTAATAATAAAATACATGGTAGAGTTCACACATTTTAAAGTGGCATTTTAAAGTTCATATTAGTAAATTTACATTTTGAATGTACAGTTTTGTTAACAACATAAGCAAATTAAATAAATAAAACTATTTTCCTCTAGATTAGGATAATCAAGTAAAGCCCAAATGTACATATATCCATAATGAAAGAGGTTTTGAACACAAAAGAATTGTTATTAATACATTTTGCAACTCACCCCATAAGCTGACTATGTACAATGCCAAAATAAGTGTAAAACTGTCTCCTCATATTCGTTACAAAAATACAATTTACATCAATCCCACTTTTAAATTTTTGCAAACAATGTTTTGCTGGATAAAACCTGTGGATGAGTTTATCGGATATTTCTTTAGTTCTATTTATAACATGATATTTCTGTGGTAACAGCCACACTTTTCTTTAATTCAGCCTTTAATAAAGACAAAATAAAATTGATTATAAGGTACAGTAATGATTTCTTTTTGGAAAAGAGTAAAACAAAATTTGCCGACATAAGATTTAGTAATATCAAAAGACGATGGATCAGAAGGATGGTCTTATTAATACCTCTAAATAACATGAATGAATAACATCTCTGCAGGAATTGAACCAATAACAGTTGAAAACTTGCTGGGTTATTGAGATTTTGTAATAAAGGACTTCATTGTAAGAAAAGTTTACCATCTTTATTATATAACTGACTAAACAAATAATTTTGCTGTCAAACCAATTAAAAAAAAAAGAGATTTGCATTTGTATGAACTGTCTATTCCAAAATAACAACAATGTAGGGATAAATCATGCTTATAGATTAATGACCATGATGAGCACTTGTTTGTGGAAGGCAGATAGCTTAACTGGAGTTTTGTCTATATTATAATTACTCATCAAAATAAACCATAGACCATCAGTTTTTAATGAAACATAATAATCTCCGCTTCGAAGTGCATACAGCATAAGAATGTACTTCCGCATATAACTTGAAACGGCATTCAACCCCCTTTAATATTGTCATCCATGATTTTCCCTGTCCTTCGTCTTTCGGGAGATCGTGGTCATTAAAGTAAGAGTGTCGTTTTTGAGTTGGAGCAGCTGGGAACGCAGCAATCACAGCGATGAGATGACCCTGCCATTCTTTCTTGCTCCGTCGCATTGAAACCAGATGTTGTGGTACACTGCTTCGCTTACCAGAACCAGGAAGTGTGAAAAAGGCCTATACTCACTACTCTAGAGTATTTTGGAAAGGTCTACTTTTTACTCATACATTAAGTAATATTTACAACAGATACTTTTACTCTACCTGCACTACATTTTTAGTCAAATATTAGTACTTTAACTTAAGAATGATTTATTCAGTACTCTGTCCACCACTTTTTTTAGACATTAAAACGCACGTTAATATTAGCAAAACAACCTTTTATAGTTCATAAAAAAACAGTTGCTGTCTGCGAAAACGCTGAAAGAAAACAACCTTTTTTTTTTAAAGATTTATTTTTGGTGGATTTTGTTTTGCCGTGCGCGCGTGTGTGTGTGTGTGTTTTCAGAAAGTTGTTGAGCGATATCTGCAAAAGTCTGCAAGCAGGGACTCGAACACCGGACACAGCTTGCGCATATAACTTCACACATAAATAGACGTGAACATTTTGAGTTTAATTTATTCACACGTTAAATTCACTTCCCAATAGATGGGAATTTGCATCATGGGCAAGGCTTCTGTCTCTCCAGGGACTCTAGTTTTATTGCTAATGGCTAACATGGATTGTATTGAGAAAGAAGCTGTACTTTAGGAAGGCTGAAAACAGTGTATTTTTGTTTGGCGCCATGTCTGAGTCCTCTAGATCCTTTCAGAGGTTCACACAACTCTGAGTTCATCAACTCCTCCAGAAACTATACCTGGTTGACGGAAGCTTTCAGTGGTACTTCTGTCTGAGCCGAGCCCAGTTTGATGCGATGTTGTCCGGTGTCAGCAGAAGATTTTCCTTATTCATGATTTATTCATTATCACCCCCATACTATAGCAAGCTCCCGATTGGTTAATGTGGCGCGCATCTCCGATAAAGTTCAGACTTTCCAAGTCAAGCGATTCGGGCATTAAGTGCGTCAACCGCGCAAAATGATCAATTTGAGTCATGTAATTTGTGTCATCTGCACGAATAGCGCCACAGAATGTTTTTTCGCATCTTTGTAACTTGAGTCTTTGACTTAACATGAAACCACTCATGCTTAATGCTTCATCTTGTCTGGTGTAAACTCACCATTATAACATGTCAACACATCATTATCAGCAAGGTTATTGGCGCAGACAAAAAAATAATAATTATTTGTTTTTTTTTACCTTTGTCACAATTAAAATACAATTACAAACACAATTTGTTTTCAATCATTTCCCGAACCCACAAAATAATTTTGTGTCACAAGATTCTTTAAAGGTCTATCTAATTTAGATTCTGGTATCTTTCTTTAATGAATGGAGCATTCCAAAGAACAGCTTTTCATAGAGTTTGAAATCTGTAGTTACTTTAAAAATATCTGCTTTAACCAATTGCATGCATCCTTTCTCTGTTTTATGTAAATACGTACAGGACTTTGTTGTTCTGACCGATGTGGGTTTGTAGTTTGCAGACGGTGTGTATCTGGTTCTGCTGATGGGACTTCTGGAAGGATACTTCGTCCCCCTCTACAACTTCTTCCTGACACCTGAGAATTTTGACCAAAAGGTATAATATAGCAGTTCATCTGTGGTTAGCGTGCTTCATAGTAGAAGCCATCGTGATGTGCTGTGTTGAGTGTCACTGAGGGGGTGGTGCTGACACTCAGCCCAGAGTACAGGCTGCTCACCTGGGTCACATCCAGCAGGCCCGTCCCATGCCAACTGGGCATGTCGCACCAGGATGCATCTGTAATCTGCCTCTGCACAGGAAACGGATAAGTGGAGTGATGTGTAGCTGTGTTATAATATCCAGTCCTTGTGTGTGGATTTCAGAGATAACTGCTTTAGGTCCATCTAATGTTCAGTTTGGGGGAAATCCCTTTTTTAATGTCCACCCCACTTTCTCACAAATATGATTGCTTCTTTTTTACCTGCAGGTTCATAATGTGTCTTTCTCCTTTGAGCTGATGCAGGACGGTGGAATGGAGAGGCCTAAACCCAGGCCTGAGGGTAATTATGGCTTTGTTTTCTGCAAGTCCGTTGCATCATTGTAATTGTGGGGTTTTAAAAAGATTAGTGTTGTCAGAACTGTACTGGGCTGCTTATATTTTACGTCTATCAAATGCTGCTTTTTAACATGAAAGTACAGTTCTTAAATGCTTTAAATATGAAAGATCATTTAAAATATATGTATATAAAGTTGAGGGCAAAATTATTTGCCCTCCTGTGAAATATTTATTCTTTTTCAAATAGTGATATTAAGGAAATTTTCGCAGTATTTCCGATAATATTTTTTCTTCTGGAGAAAGTTATATTTGTTTTATTTCTGCTAGAATAAAATGATAGAACAACAGAAGCAGTTACTAATTCACTAACGTCACTTTAGAGCTAGTTTCTTTCTGCCAACACAGCACACATTCCTGATATTAGAGTCCCATCTCACACTCAACACACTACAAATATTATAGTATAAATACCGCACTACATCATACAAAAGACAGAGATCGATTTAAAATACCACTTACCAGTGTAATAATGATTTGATCAGCTGTTTTAATCTTCTAGGGGCTTTTTGTGCAGTTTCTGTTGCTATCTTATCGATAGACAACGTCAACCGTCTTTGGTCTGCTCAGTATGACAGGCTAATGGCTGCCGACGTGTTGTCTCTCAGAAATGATAAATATTTCAAATAGGCACTGTCCTTTTAAATAAACTGCATAGTTGCAATCCAAACAACAACATTCTTGACTAAAAAAAACCTCAAAAGTACATTGTCCAACAGCAGCAATATTTTTCAAACTGTAGAGTGCTTGTCGCTGTATGTGGGCGGAGTAATACACAAGGGTGAAGGGTGTCCTTTATAGAGAAGATTCATTAAATCCATTATAGATTCTGCCAAATGCATAAATGTGAATTAATTGTAAACAGATGTACAGCTTAGTATATGTTGTTATTATTATTATTATTATTATTTCAAGTGTTCAAAAACTAGTCTTTATACAGTGTGTACATTTGGGTGTCCTTGAAGAGTTATTACATTATCACTCATTGCATAAAACCATTTTAAGCTTCAAATCCACTAAATCATCAGAACTAGAGAATCTGTGCACTATCTGTGTATGTTATCTGCTCAAGTGCCCTAAAACGAGGCAACTGTAACTACTAAAAAGGCTTTTGTTCTTGAGTAATTTAAATCTTTTCTGTTTCATTCCAGATATTGTGAATTGTAACCTAAAATCGACGCTGCGAGTTATTTACAACCTTTTCACCAGGTACAGAAACGTGGAATGAGCCAGAACGGGAAGCCTCTATTGGGAACGCTGTTTTCAGACTGATGGACAAAATATGCTGTTAATTATACCCCTATACGTACGACTAATAATGGTTTGAGTATTTTCTTTCCTCTTGTCATCTAGATAATATAAAACCACTCATAAAAAAAATGTCTTTTGATGATAGCATTCCATTCCTAAGATGATGCATGGAAAGCCTTGCATAACTCCGGCTTTTATTTGTGGAAATGCAATTAGCTGCTTAATGGTTTGAAATGGATTAATCCTAAAGTGCCTTTGCAGATGTATGAAAGAAATAACCCAGCTTTACAGATACTATCTTATATATTTAATCGCAGTATTAACTCTTTTTATTTTTTACCCTCACCTTGCATGCGCTTTATGTACTGTAAGGTTGCTTTATTTTAAGCAGATGTATGTACTGTATGACCAAATTATCTTAAAGGAACAGTTCACCCAAACAATAATAGCTCTGTATAGGAGATGCCCAATGTAGGGGCCCATGGGCCAAAGTTGTCCCATTGTAACCTTTAATTTGGCCCAACATCCCAACTGAGAGGAGAGTGGGAATGATGGAGAGGGTTGAGGCGAATTCCTTTACCACAGAGAGATTGTCATTTCTAATTTAACATGTTTTTGTTTGTATGAGGTCCCTTTCATTGCTGCTTGCAGCTTTAATTTGTTAGTTTTATTGCTGAGCTACAAAAAAAGCAAACTGAAAATAAAAGTTTCAATTAAATGTTGTAAATGAATCTGATTTATTAAAATATAAATAGATAGAAGACTATGCAGAAGACACCCGGGAGCAAATCAAGGTAAAACTAGTGTAATTTTTTTTATGAATGACATTGTTTTGTTGTTACTATATTAAGTAAAATGTTACTATAATACATAAAATGTAAAAAAAAAAAAATACTATGTGTTAGTTAATATAAAGCAATTTTTTGAGTCGTTTAAAAAAATTATTAAATAATTTAGGAAATTACCCATGGCATCTATATTTACTCTCAGCTCCGTAGCCTTAATCAAGGTTGGTTTTTGACATTTCTTAAAAAAAAGTTTGGGCACCCCTGCTTTATATTTTACTCACAAAGGACTTTCTTCTGTCAGACGAATGCATTTGAAGAAGTTTTAAATTTAATCCTGGGTCTTTCATGCTGTATAATAGTGATTAATAGGTGCTTTTTTTCTGAAGCTTCCATAAATCCATCATAAAAATTACCCATATGACGATAGATGCATGTGTTATAAAGCAGATTGATGTGTTTTTGTAACACAAATATTCATATATACGTATATAAACTCAAATCATGCTACTGTCGAATGTGTTCTTTGACTCGACATATGATGTCGTTTATAGCGGAAGCTCTACTGAGAGTAGTCGAACGAGAACAATATTATACTGTAACACTAAGCCAATTTGTTTTTGAGGTAAACGAACTGGGGTGCTTTACCGAAAACCATCGTTAGCTAAATAAGGTTGCAAGTTCCGTCGTTACAAAGATAGTTTGTTGAATTGCCATTTCTCAAGTCTGTCGTTCCAACAAATATTCGCAAACTGCATCGCAAACTTGTAAGCTCAGGAGCTGTAGTTAGACTCATAGTTCATGGTTGTGTTCTATTCCCAATTATCCTCCCTATGCCCTTTTCATTTAGAATGTTTCAACATTTGAACTTGGAATTAAAAAACAAACTAAGTCATCACTCAGGTGTAATTTGCTTTTAAAGTATTTTTACTGTTCAGATCTTCATGTTGACAATTGCGTTGCACTTTGAAAACATTTATGCCATTTTGAACACAGCCATGGCTCATGGCGAAAGGTATAGGGGATTTATTATTTAAAAGCAGAATTTATGTTATGTCTCCAAAGCTTGTGAAAACAAAAATATAGGCCTAGCATACATTATTGGTTTTAATTTATAGTAGGTTATTAATTGAGGATCTGTGTAAATGTATCTGTACTGTATATGACATGGGCCTGTTGGTTAGAACATTTCTGCAGTGGTCAATTGTAAAAGTAGACTTTAAAATAAATAAATAAATAAACAATATCTTACTTAATAATAATGATATTAAGTAGGATTTAATTTTTTTAATAACTTTGCCTGCTGTAAATTAGGCCTACAACTTTTAACGATTTATATGATCTATATATGAGATTAGAATACTAGGTAACTAAGGGATTTTATATGGAACATTCTCTATAATATTTGTAAAGGAAGCATATATAGGTCCGATATGTGTTGTTTATATATTTCAGTTAATATGAAAAAGTGCATGTTTTTTTTTTTTAAATATTCAATTTTTTTTTTTTTTTTAATGTGTGATCGTTTAAACAATGTCATCACACGGCAGTTCGTAACTTTTTGATTTAGTGCCGATTTTAATTCATATGAATTCGTACGATCTCATTTGAACAATTTAGTGTGATTTGCTTATTCCCTAATGATGGTTGGGTTTAGGGGTGGGGTAGGGTGCCATGCCTCCTTTTTAAAATTGTACATTTGACTAAATTAGCCACTAAACTGCCAAAATGTAAAACAGTGATGTTTTTCTCGTGAGATCAAGCTGTCATATATATTGATGTGCAAGTTCGCCAGCCACTGGAAGTCATTGATTTGAGTTTATAATTTAAGAATTCTAAATATTTTTGTTACAAAAAAGCATTAATACTCCTTATAAGACATGTGTAAACCAGCTAGTAGAGTATGGGTTAGTTTTATGACAGATTTATGCGCAGATTTTGGAATGTTTTAAAAAATAGCCACTATATATATATATATACACAACACCATTAAAGGATAACATTTAAAACTAATGTGACTGTGTTCTTATGAGACAAGAAAGTCTCATACACTGAGGATTGCTTGAGGGTGAGTAAATTATGGGCTAGTTTTATTGTTTTTGGGTGAATTATTGCTTTTTTTGTCATGTTTTGTCTTTTAAAAACAATTTTTTTTATAAATGTCCACTTTGATAGTCTGTACGCTTAAGCCAAAAATATTTGGCTCAATTTGTTATTTAAAAACAAAAAGATTCCATACTAATTAACTTATTTTCTTATGTCTTAAAACATGGTGTCTTGGATCAGTATTGGGAAACATTTGTATGTATAGTAAAACCCACACACAATTGAATTGGCAGTCGCACAGCTTTTATATTTTATGTTTATACCACATTTCGTGGACTTCGTTCCAGTGATGTGATTTTGTAAATCTCAATCTTCATGTTTTATCTGCATCTGAATAAATGTTACAAAATCTACATTAAACGTGGATGAATCATGTAGTGCATTGTGATTGTCCGATTTCTATCTTTCCATTCCATTTCCTCCCTCTCTGCCAAGTGCTGTACTTTGCGCAGTCTTGTCACTGATAGACTCGGTTCACTTCACTCACTGGAGCAGATGCTTACGCCATTCAGAAATACCGCAGGGATGACCAGCAGACATGGGTCCTCTTTGTCCTTATTTAAGTGGAAGGCTGTTTGGGGGTAATTTACTTCTATTCAAAAAACCGTCCGCATCCACATGAGGAGCCGATGCTTGAAAAATCACTTTAACATTCTTATTGGATTCTTTTGAAATGGCTGCAGATCAAATTGATGCTCTAATTTGAACTGTCTAACAGTTGGGCAGACTTGTTTTTTATTTTTATTTTTTTTTATAACTGCTGATAAATATGACAAATACAAACATCCTAATATGGAACATCTGTCTCATGGCAAAGGCTTTTGCTTTAAACAGTACCTGGGTAGATTTTTCAAAGCTCTTGAATAGAAATGGATTCATTCCTACTGTCGGAATGGCTGATTTTCTCAGAAAATTACTTTCCTACCTGAAGTGTTGAGATTCTTGTGTCTGGTTTGCTATAGAAAAAAGGTTTTGTATTACCTTTAAGAAAATCTGAGTCATGATTGACTCAATCCTTCACTTATAATTATATAGAGTTTCTATGCATTTGCCAAGATGTTCTGGGCAGTTTATAAAAGTTGCTGCATTTAGCCATCAAAAGTAACACTAGTGGTCATTAAGTGAACTGCAGCCAGCATTTCTTGCGCTCACAATGTGATTTCAATTTCTTTTTTTCTTCACCTATTGGAAATAGGAAGATAAAAAATGTCACAAAGATCACATAATCAAGATTGAGATTTTCTTTATACATTTCTATAAAAGAAATGTATAAACTGAGAAAAAATACATGAATTAGTTTGAAGCCTTCAGATTTAAGAAGGTACAAAAAAATAATGTAATTATACAAGATATTTTTGAGTATTTTAAATAGAACAAAAACAAGCACATAAAGGTTACTCAGCATTTGTGATAGGAACTCCTGAATGAGCTATTTTTATTGATTTTTAACTGTTTTTGGGGGTATTTTTAAGCAATCAGTTGTTGTCATGTTGTGGTGTTCATGGATAAGTGTTTTGATGTAGACCAATCATAAAACATTTAACTACACGTTGTGGCGACACGTAGAGCAAGCTCTGTGATTGGCTGCCTTGGATTAGCTGTGGCAATTGATTAGCTGTGACTGAGCAAGGCTGGTGGCGGGCGGTTAAACAAATCCTGCATATGAATACTTTTGTTTTGTGTTTGTTTTATTTTATGATTAAAGTTGTTGACTGTTTTCCAGTTCCTGCTTCTTTCTTCCCTGAATCAATGTGATTTTTGAAGTACTGTTACTGTAGGCACCCGTTTCCAGCATAAACTTAAAATACCGGCAAAGAAACTCAACACAGTGGAACATAGAAACCCCAATGCTAGTAACATTTTTGTTTAAGCAGCACAGAGAGAACATCATGGTGTTGACTATTTCCATCCACCTATTTTTATGTGCATTTTGCATGTGCACATAAAAAACGTTGATGAAAACTCCATAATACGCATTAAAAAATTATGCACATAACTAAGTTGGATAAACTTTTATTCAATAAGAAAAAATGTTCATAAACTACGATGGAAACACTTTAACCGAACAAATTCCAGTATGCACATTAAAAATGCCTTATGATTTTGTCATCAGAATAGCATGTGAACCCCCCCCCCCCCCCTCCCCCAATCAGAGTTTGATCAAATACCTCAATCCGAGTCAAAGGTGGCTGATATCTACAATGTTTTTTTGTTTTGTTTTTTTGCTAGAATAACTGCTTTGCTTCCATCTCCAACTAGTTTACATAAACAAACATGGGAGCAAGATCTGGATATTGAGATTTCTGAGGACCAATGGAAAACATTCTCAGTTTAGTTCACTCTTCATCTATTTGTGCCATACACGGCCTACTACAATGTAAAATACTTCATAGGACCCATTTCACTAATGCCAAACTTTCTAGAATATTTCCAGACAGAAGTGATCCCTGTAACGGATGTAAGCAGTCACTGGCCGATTACCTTCACATGTTTTGGTCATGTTCAAAATGAATAATCTATTGATCTAATATATTTTTTTTAATTTCTCAAACTCCTAATATAATCATCACTCCTGACCCTCTGACTGCCATCTTTGGTTATCTTTAAACCCCTTATACGCAAACATCAACACACTGCGTCATTGCCTTTACCACCTTGCTCGCCAGGCACGCAATTCTCCTCAAATGGAAACTTATGTCCCCTCCATCAGAACACTGGATTAAAGAGGTTCTACACTGCATCCGCCTTGAGAAACTGAGACATTGTTTTATAGGAACTCCTTTAACAAAACATGGAGTCCCATACTGTCTGTCATTGAGAACCTTGACATTTCAGGAACTGCTGACTATTTCGAAAGGGAGAAAGAGAGACTTTTAATGTTTATTTTACATTTTCTTCTTCTGTATTTACCCATATATTTATTTTTTTATTAATTAATTGATTTATTAATTATTTTTTTTCAGTTGGTTTATTATTTATTTATCTGTGTCTTGATTCATCT